TGAGGGAAAGCTTGGGGGGGTTAGAGAAAAGAAGTGAAGTTCAGTAACTGACGAAACCAATCAGAAGCGAATTAGCTAAACGAAAGGAATATCGAAGCAGTAATTGCTCGGGTGTTCTGAGGAATGGTTCGACGATCCATTTACTTTACTGTAGCCAATAGGACAGTGTCAAAGAACTGCAGCAAATTTATGCCAGTGAAACAATCGTGCATGCCATGACTCCTTGTGTAAAAGTTGTTTGCAAAATTCAAAAGCTTAAGGGGACAAATTAACGATGCAAATGATACGCGCATAATGTGAGGCACATGTAAAGGTAAACTTACACGGCGATCATCAGGTGTTTACGAAGTTGCGGAAGTTACAGAAACTTACTTTTCTTCACATGCACAACGGTCGCATTACTTCGCCAAATATCCTCCACGGATCTGTTTTTGTGCATGGCCAGAAGCGCAGCCGGAATGAAGTGGACTCTGTATTCGGTGATCGGAACGTTGCTGACGCTTTTCTCCGCATCACTCAGATCGTCAACGATCCGGAACGTCACGCTGTGGTCAGACGAACTCAGGAAAGCGGCTTGTGGAGACTCCGGTGTGGCTGAAACATAGTCCTACTAAATAACAACGCCTGACACGGTGACGTGTATTTTTCTCGCAATCGAACAGAACGAGTAAACAGGGTGTGGTGGGTGCCCGGTTGGAATCCTGACAAAACTTACTTTATTTGTCAGTTCCCGTGACCTTGGAATTTACAGTACGCTGCTTCGCTGCACGTGACTGAGAAAAGCCGTTGACCAGCTATTCGTTGACTTGAAAACAATGATAGCAGAACGGAGTTTCTGGGCCACACTACAGTACGCGGACAAAGCGCTCATGCTATCTTATGCATTTCGCTTTCGTCCTTCTCATAGCTAACTGTCCAAGGTGAAGTGTGTAGCCAAAGATACCAGCGAACAGTGAAAACCAAATTTTTAATGAATGAGAAACAGCCAACGCATATTTCGTCTTCACCTGAAGCGCTCTAGTCCAAAAAGTTGACAACCAGCTGATCACGTGATTTCAGTGAACCGGACACACGGACGGCGAAGTTCGTCTCAACACCGCCAACCTCTGAGAAACTAATAAATAAATCATGGAGGAGCCTCAGATACCATTCTGCCGCTACCTTACAGGAAAACACATAGACGATTTTGCGGCTAAAGTCACAAAGGCCCATCTGAAGTGTTTCACCAAACCTCGGGTCATGCAAATCGCTGCTGTACCCCAATGAGCCAGATCGAGTTTAATGAGTAATAAAACTCAGTTCCATGTAAGCATCAAGCTTTGTTAATCCGTGCTTATTTCATTTTTGGTTTGACTCCTTGTCTGTTTTTGGTACGGATGTTTTTGTATTTCATTAATTCTTCTGATTCCCACTGCGTACATCTAGTTTCTTCGCATTAAATGCCCTATTTGCTATGTCGCATTTTTGTCTTCCAAGCATCTTTTCGGTTAATCCCTCAAATTGGTCTCACTGAGCAACATCATTGACTCAAGTCATGCACAGTTCAGTGAAAGGTAAGAAAATCTAAGCAATGAAAGGCTTGTTTTACATGAAGTCAGGTGGCCAATTCAATAGCTAAAATTCGGTTGATCCAATCAAATCTGTCACCGTCATTCAGCAATATGATTATCTTCTTACTTGCTTCCTTGAAGACAAACGACAGCTCTGATTCGGCTTTGCCGTTGGTCGCCTTACATTTGATTGGTCTGGTGAAGTCGTCGTACTCCGCGTACCGTAACTGTAATCAGTTTTTGAAAAAAGGGTCCAGTGCAATAAATAACAAACACG